TTCCATTTACGTGTTTACTTGTGTTTAGACTATTCTCTATCATTTGCATGCTCACTTATTAAAATCTTGAGTGATTAACGAAAAAGTTTTAATAACCAATTCACCCCCCTCTTGGTTAGTTATTCTTGGGCTAACACATATGTCATCCGATCGGGAATTATTTTCAACATATGAAAAAGTTTCAAAAGGTGTTGTGATGAACGGTAATAACATACCTTGTCCAATAGTTGGTAATGGCCAGGTCAGAATAAAGATGTTTGATGAGACGGTTAGAACACTTGATGTAGTGATATACGTTCCAGATCTAAAGAAAAACCTTATCTCATTAGGTACTCTTGATTCAAAATGGTACATATACACTGTTGAAGGTGGAATTCTGAAGGTTATCAAAGGAGCCGGTATTGTACTGATGGGATATAGAAAATCTCATTTATATTCTTGTAGGATTATACATAATCTTTGAGTAATCAGCAGAACTCATGTGGATTTAGAGTTGACTTTTGTACGGTTAGAGTCTAATTTGGGGTCTTCATTTAAGAATACATCTCAACTAAATTTTGAAAATATGGGTAAATCCGTCTTGCTACTATTATCGACGGTGTCATCGTATTCAATTGTTAGAATTAGACCCATTTTTTGCCATAAGATTCCACATAGGTACAATTCTGTTGATTTTATTGACGGTTTGAATGAGGTTAAAGGTGTTGATTCTAGTCAATATCCTTTTTTTTATGCATTTAGTTGTGATTCTATTCAGTGTTTGTTTAAGCCTTGTTTGGTGGTCATTGGATTCGCTTTTGCCCCTAGTTAGGTAGTAGAGGTTGAGAATATTTCTAGTTGTAATTGTTGATGAAGAAGTTTGCTTATGTTTTTTATTGAAGAGTTTAAGTTTATATCTTGTAGTGGAATTTGTCTCCTGATGGAGAATTCATTAAGAGTGGGAATTTGTGTTGGATTTAAAGAAGACTTTGGAATGAAGAAAAATATCATTGGAATGGGATTGAGTTGGAGACGAGGCACCTAGGCACCGCAACTGTAAATATTAACAGCAAGGTCGACGCTGCAACGTCGACAGTGGCGCTGCGGTGCTCAGAGAGTGGCGTCGCGACTCCACCTATTCTGCTCTCTTCCCTATTTTGGTCTCATTTTCTATTTTGGACTTCTTTTTTGTATTGTACTTCATCTACAACTCTATTATAAGAGTTTTAACGTTTCCTACTTGTTCACTATATATAGTTGACCCTTCATTATGATTTAGTAAGAAGTTAGAAATTGCTGGACAAATCATAAATACGTAATCTTTATATTTTTTCTCGATATTATAATAAAATCTCAATTCTCTGCGAATTATATTGTTCTCGTGTTCTTGTAATCAATTACTTCTTATTGTAACTTAGAGCTTGTTTGGTTGTGATTTTTGGAGGAAGAATTGATTTTTGAATAGTGATATGATGGGAAATGTGTGGTTGAAAAAGAAGAAAAAATTATTAATGTAATGAAAAATATTATTTTATTAAAATACGTGTGATTGAAAATGAGAATTGATTTGATTCTCAAGTTAAAAACAAACACCCCCTTACTCATTTATCTTTTCACGGTAAACTGGTAATGGAGCATTTTTCATAACAGTAGCCATATATTTTTGTTGAATAAATTACATTTCTTTATGTGAGTTGGATCGTGGTTCAGCCCTTTGATTAAGGAAAACAAATCTTTTTTTCAGAATCAATAAAGATCCGCCAGACAATGATTATCTGATGTTGTTGACATTAATTTGTTCTTGTTCATCTCTTTTTAAAAAAAAAAACAAATTGTGGGCTGATTGATGAGTTGGTGCTGGGCCATGCCAAATATCCAAAATCGCCACCCACTTTTTCTTGTTAAAGCATTCATTTTTCTTACTTTTCTTTCACGAAATTTGAATGCTTTTCTTGGTCTTACTTCACATTTTGGAGAGAACAATTTGCCAAAGAGAAGTTTCTTCTCTGGTATGTGATTCTTGAATATTGGCATCTTATTCCCTGCTACTTATTTCAAGATTGTATATTTATTTGTTTTTGCTGTCTTAAGTCATGATTCTGTATCTTGAATCTGGAATTACTCGTGTTGATTGGATAATTCTGTTGAAGAGGCAATTCACTTTTGAATTAACTTGTGCATTTTTGTTATTGTAAGATCTTCAATGTACATTGTTTGAGAAATGAAAAAAACTATAAAAGATGGTTTGGTTTCCACTCTAGTAGTCTTAATTTCTGCTCCAATACCGTATATTTGCATTATTGTAGTTGAAAAGCTCATAGTTGGATTTGGGTTGGGTTGGGTTGGGTTGGGTTTGCCTGTACACCTATGGTGTAGTGGGTTTGATTTATTTATTTAACTTCAAAAGGATAGATTAATTGTTCTTGAATCTTAACCTAGTGCACAAAATAAATAATACATTGATAATTCTTATTTGCAGTCATATATTTTGGACGGATTTGCATACAAATCATAAAAATAGATGCCACTTCTCTTTTTGCTATCCAAAAGAAAGACACACTGGACAGTTCCCGCCCAAGAGTGCAGGAAAATAATGTAGTTGAGAAAAAGTTTTCACAAAACTCCCATTGAAATTCTTGGTTAATTGTAAGAATAAGATTCCCAAGATCATTATCTCTAAATGCACAATGCAATGTCGGTACTGGTCCAATTGGGAGTTGGTTGGAGACATGCATCTCAATTTTTTTAGAAATAAAACAAGAGAAAACTATGTGAGGAAGGCTGCATGCCAATAGAATGAGAAATAAAAATAGGCTTTTCATTACGATGCGGGTTGTTGTAAGATGATTTATGTCAGTGCGCACCGGTTTGTTCCTTGTGCTCCTGGGCTTAAATGGACAGGTTTGCCTTGTTACTTTGAAGAAATTAGATCGCTTGGACCAAGCCTACACTAGGTATAAATTAGCATGGGATAATATTACACCATTTCGTTAGGTTGTGCTTTGAGATTGGAAGAATGACTAACGAGGATAGTATTTCATCATAAAACTCCGTAAATTCTTCGGCTTTACCATCACTTAACATGATCAGTGATTAACTTTGTAATTTATGCGTTGTCAATTTCTTCTTTAGGTCTGTCTGTTGTTGATTATGTTCAGGTATTTCGATACATGAACATCATGTAAAATTCTCGTCGGATGGAATTGCTGCCTTCATTATCATTAACTAACAAACGTATCTATTCTCTTTGTTTCTCCCTGTTAGTAATTTAAATATGAGAGATTTATATAATAGAAGAGCTTGCTTGACATATAAGCACGCAGAGGAACATAAATTTATCTACTCTGTTCTAGACACGGCTGGATAACATTTTTATGTGCTGTATGACGTTCTCTGCGGGATATTTTAGATACCCTGTGTTAGGCATCAAAGATGGGCTCTGGGGTTTGTTTTAAGAATATAATCAGCAAAAAGAAAGCGAAACGCACCAGATCAGAAAAATTCAAGGTATGCTACTTGTGATGCTCCCACATTTTAATATTTTTTTTCTTAGAAAAACGTTTTGGTAAAAAAGAAATATCCAGGATTTCCTGGTAAAACTTAGTTTAATGCCTTCTGCAAAACAATTTCATGCATTCACAGCAGTGCCATTTTCACTAAGTTCACGGAATTTTTTCAACAACCAATGTGATTTCAATTTTTTCACGTCATGATCTGTATTTCTGCATGCTTGAAATTTAAATTGATTTTGTCATTATTATAGAATAGATATTCAGCACCTGAAAAATCAAAGGGGTACAAAGAGGAAAACAGTTCTAAGAAAGAGGTCCCTACATTAGCAATTGGTGCTTCTGCCAAAAATCGTGGGCTTATTGGCTTGGCCTTTGAAAATATTGCGGCCACTCGAATTCAGACTGCATTCCGGGCATACAGAGTATGTCATATTCCATGTTATGTTCATTTCTACCATCTTAGCTTGCATGGCATATTTTTTATTCCCTTAATCCTTCCTATCCCCTTCCACATTTGTTGGGAGGGATTAAAACATAAGATTGTGTTCATTTCTAACTGATATGTCCAAATTCAAGTAACTATTACCCTTAATTTGGGAACCAGCAGTTTATATTACAAGCGCATGCTGAATTTTTTACTAAACTATTATTATTTGAATTGTGGTTAGCTTCAAATTCTTCATCATATAATATTTTATTGGAGGATGCAGCTAAGAACTTGTATAAGAGATTTATTTTTTTCGTCTGCTCATTGAAAATCTCACAAGGTGTAGGCTTCTTATAGATGTGACAACTTAGTTTATGTGGTTAAATGAAGAAAAGTGGGGGAGTAATTGTAGAAGGTTCTTTCAAGTTTTCTGGAATTTTACATAGGCAGATGCTCAGTGCTTTATATTGAAACTAATTGGTATGTGTATGGAGTTCAAACACGAATAAGACGCGGAAAAGAACAAATTTGTACCTTAATATTCTGAACAAGAAAATCTTAGAGTTTCGTTTCTTTTATACACTCCTTGAGCAAATTTTTCTAACCAGGACTAACAGGCCAGTTTTGATGCTACCGAGGGATAGAGGTCTTTGATGTGTTCTATTTATCAGCTTCAGAATTTTCCTCAGAGAACTTTCTTTTTTGCTTCCGTCTTGGAATAGGCAATCTGCTCCAACTTGTGTAGACTGCAGATTATTGGATGGATTTTGTAGAAGACATTATATATGCTCTTTGTTTTTTTGTTGCCTGTGTACACCTCTTATGTATCAGGGCACCCCTCATCTTTGATAAAATTTAGGATTATGTGAAAAAAGGACCACTCCACATATGGTTATACCTAACATTCTCTTATGCTAATGTTCTTATCAGTTCATAATGATTTTTCAATATCTCTAATAGTGTTGTTCATACATATTCGCATTTCTCTGCAGATTTTTTTTTAAATGTCATCTATAAACTATGTCACATATCTGTTGACAATGTACACTTTTCCTGTTTTAGGCAAGAAAAGGTTGCCGCCAATCGGAAGGAACCCTAAGGTTACAGAATTTGATGCAGTGTAACACTGTTAAGAAGCAAGCTAAAATAACCTTGAATCATCTGCACTCATGGGGCAGGATTCAGGCTGAGATTAGAGCTCGCCGAGTCCATATGGTAATGGAAGGCCGCCTCAAGCAGAAGAAGCTGGAGAATCAATTGAAGCTCGAAGCCAGACTTCATGGACTGGAGGTAAAATTGATCCGTACTTATTCTAGGTTTCCCTGTTTATCCCTGAATACTGTTGGTTAGAGACAGTGTTGCCATCCTTCACTGCAATCTGCATTTGGCATCGCTTGATTTTCATCATTTGCCTGTTTGATAGAATTTATTTGGGAATAATGAGTTATGGAATAGTATTTTTTGGAGAATGTGTGGTTAAAAAGTAAGGAAATTTTATTGGTTTGTATGTAGAATATTTTATTGTGTGAATGTATGATAAAGAAATGATACTGTAGCAAACAATTTAATTTTTTAAAGAATAACAAACAGGGCCATACTTCTACTCGTAAATGTTAGTGCCTACTGAATGCACCAGGCATATATACACTTATACATGAACGTGACCTATTTATGGTTCTTGCATATCTACCATGTACGCATTATGATGCACCTTGTTTCCAAACTCTTTATGAAGTTTGTGTGCAACTCGATTTTATGTATTGGCTGTTTATAATAAACAGTACATTTTCATAAAATGTCTGACAGGTGGAGTGGAGTGGTGGACACAAAACAATGGATGAAGCTCTTTCGAGAATACATCAGAGAGAAGCTGCAGCATTGAGGCGGGAGCGGGCTATGGCATATGCCTTTTCTCATCAGGTACATCAAATTAAATAATACTCCCTTACTTCCTTTGAGATATCAAACCAAGATGTTCAGAGAATGCGTTTTGCAGTGGAGGGTCAATTCAAATCCAAACTTGGGAGCAGGCAATCACAATCTCAGTAATGCAAATTGGGGCTGGAGCTGGATGGACCGCTGGATTGCTGCTCGACCATGGGAAAGCCGGGTCACAGTGCAATTGAGTCCAAAGAAAGCACAAAGTCGTGAGACATGTAAGAGTAGTAGAACCATCAATTTTCCAATAACCAAAGCACAGGTTTCTCTTAAACCAATTTATTCGAGTGACAAGGCTGCTAGAAAAGCTCAAAATTTGTCTTACGAAGCAGCTGAAGCCACCCAGAAAGTGATCTCAAAAGCTGAAGAGGCGAAAACTAAAGAAGGGGCAGTATTATCGTAATAGCTCCCTACTATGAATATCAAGTTTAACTTGTTATGCAGCAGCAAAGAGATGGATAAATCTACAATTTGATCACTTGCAAAAAATATCGGATTTTGGATCGTGCTCGTTTCTGGTTCTCGTTTGTTCACAGTTCTTATGTATATTTGGAGAAGGTAAGTTATCTAGATATATGTAATAGACATATTCAAATTTTCGTCTGGAGGTGGCCCATCATCCGTGTTCAGTACAAGCACCAATTTAAGGGGTTTTCTGATCTATGTTTACTTCAGTTTAAACAACTGTATTTTTGAACCAAGAATGGACCAGTAATTAAATTCTTTCTTGAAATTAAAAGATATAAAAGAACCACTGAAATAATGTAGATAATTGAATGAAAATCAGGAGAATATAACATAAATATAAAATATATCAAGTATATAAAATAAATTGAACAAAAATCCGTTCTCCCTTCATGTCACACACTGCCCATTTCTTTATTTTTTACTCACTTGGCAAATTTGGTAGTGTTTTTGGGGTCTCTTAACAGTTCATAAAAGATAACCCGCAATTACTGTGACATGCAAACTTAATAGAGATTACAATAGACATCACAAAGAAAATCATACACACTGCAAATTTCAAATCACAGTTTCCGTTCTTGTAATTTGTCCAGGCGCTAGAGTTCAAGTATTGCTGTCAGAAAAAATTGCACTGTGTCAAGCTTTTGATAAAATGAGTATAATCTACACGCGAAGAGATGTGTTGAAGACTAAATTTAAATGAGTATATATAATTAAGCTTTTAGGTGAGATGGTTTGAGAATACATACTGTGTAGGAAGAGGATTAAAATCCAGCAAGTCTTCATAATGAGAAAACGGCGTACCGGAAGATGGCTTCATGGAAATTGAATTACTCTCTTTTTCCTCTACTTCCCTTGGTTCAGCAGTAAATTTGGATATTTCATTGCCAGAGAGGCTGACGCCGCAAAATTGGGTACTCGACAGAGCATGACTCATGCGAGGACAAGTAGTGGACTGAAGGGGTTCCCTTTGAGAAAAGAATTGACCTGAATTAACACTATCATGCCAACTGAAATGTCTTGGGATTGCAGCCATTTCCAGGTCTGAATCCAAATGGGAAAGAGTTGACACGGAGAATAGGCCTTGCTGATAACCAGAGATGATAGAGTCATCCGGGATATATTGGCTAGAGTAATGAAGGCTCTGGCCATGAATTTTGCTTTTCGAGTTAAAATGGTCGTTGTGATAACTGGGATTATCCTTCCTAAGTGTATCCTTTTGGCTGTTATCTTGAAATCCTTCATCTGCTTGGTGATCAGCTAATTGCATAACATTTTCAGCATTTTGATTCTCTGATTGATCAAGTTCATCAATGGCAGATTTGGCCTTCTTCATCAGCCAATCGAGGGCCTTGCTCGGACGATCATAGCCAAGCCTATCTTGCAAATCATAGAATTGAATTGCAGTGTTTGGCGACAGTCTAACACGTCTCTCTTTAGTCCCCCTTGTAGTGCATACCTTGCTGTGCCTATCCTTCCGTCCCATGGATCTAACAATTCGGCCTCCGTGGACATCTATTACCTCTCTTTTCCTTCTTTTCAGCTTCAATTTTGATGATCCCTGATGAAAACCCTCTTGCATTTTCTTGTACAGTGGACAAGGACAATTCTCTGTTGTGGTGCTAAAATTCCACTAGAAATGAATCCAATTTTCAGCTGGTTCTTTATTACCCCTTTTAGCGAGTGGAGCGGCTTTATTTAGTTCTTTGTGTAGGTACAGTACAAGAATGTGCGATCTTGGGCCCTCTAATACAGGTCAGAAGCCGATAGATTTCTTCTAACGGTACAAATGCAAAATCAAGGTGAATTTAAGTTGTTTTATTTACTTTAATTTTGTTGAATATTGTCTAATTCAAAACCGAAATCCAGGAATAATGAAAAAGCAAAATCACTGTGGACGAATAGTAACGATTTGATGCCTGCATGTAAACACTGTTTTAACATTTGAAATTGAGTAATATTATTCATCCCCAGTGGGGATGAAAACACAGTCTAGGTGACGGTAAATGACATGTGAAATTAAAGGTGAAATTAAATGACTTATTTAATATCACATATCATTTAATACCACATTAGCGCCACTTAAACTGTGTTTTCATCCCTAGTGGGGATGAATAGCATTACTCTTTGAAATTGTGTTATGCGGTACCTTCTGTCTTGTTATCTTGATTACAAAAAAACTACTTGTACAATGATTAATGATTGACAACACTTACAACACACTCACATTAGTGTGGGCCCCACCCATTTCAATTTCACTAGTCGGGTTTCACATTTCAATTTTGCGATGTTTAATAATACTAATAATTTATGTAATCGATCACGAGTCCTTGTTTGGGCTCCATATTTTCAAAAGAATGAATTTTGAAATAGTAAAAAGTTGAAAAATATGTGGTTAAAAAATAAAGTAATGAAATTATTTCATACGAGAATGTATAGTTAAAAATGAATGATGACAAAAATGAGTTTTAATAAAAATGGAGCCCAAACTTATTGGCACCCACCGAACTTAAAATCACACATTTTAGGAATGGTGGCAACTTAAAATTTTATCAACTGTTGTCAAACAGGACTTAAAGTTCAAGAGAAAATTGGACTTCAGACGCCTCCTCAACAGTTTTACTGCGTAGTTAGGATTGAGGATGGTCCCATCAATTTATCCGTCAAATCTATATCTCGAAGGGAAAAAAGCGCAGAACTCACGTGTTTAGCAATTACGAGGTATTTTTTTTTTCCTTTTTTTCCCTATGAATTCCGACAGGTTTGAGAGATCCCAGAAACTCAGGATCTTAGCCGAACGGCTCCGAAACTACAAATCTGACCCAACTTTTGATACCATAAATGACAAAACTCCGACAAATCCAAGAATTCAAGATCCAATACAAACTTCAGAATCTGTTAACAACCCATATGCGATTCCATCTGAAAGAATCGAAACCAACAGAGCCGCAGTTTTGATCTGTCTGTTTGAGGGCGAAAAGGGTGATCTTCGCGTAATTCTTACAAAAAGATCTTCTACACTTTCCTCTCATTCCGGTTAGCATTTTAATCAGTCCAATTTATTACTAAATTTGATTACATTGATGATAATTGTGAGAACTGGGGTAATTTACAGGTGAAGTGGCATTGCCTGGAGGAAAAATGGAAGAGGGTGATGCCAATGATGCCGCGACTGCACTAAGGGAGGCTAAAGAGGAAATTGGATTGGACCCTTGTGCTGTGGATGTTGTAACTGTTCTTCATCCCTTCCATTCTAAGGTAATGTCTATGAAATTCGCTACTAATTCTGGGTGTTGTCATTTTTCTATTAATTTCATCCATTTTTTAACTCTGTATGATCCAACCCACAGCACAAAATAATTGAAATGAGTCTGCACGTTTACAATTGAGAAAGACTAATTGGCATAATTGGTCATCATCACTCCTGTCATTAAAAGTTTAATGTCTAAATTCACCCAATGAAAGAACGAAATCATTGTATATAACTTCATCCCAGCATATAAGAAATCTCTAACAGAGCCTGAAACCTTCCTAAATAGTATTCTAGACTTAGTGCGCAACTCTCAAAATTCCATGTTGCTTACATCTTCGTAGAAAAGATTTTAGACTGCATTGCCTCTATACGAAGCTTCTTTCATAGGATGCGCAACCCTTGTTGCACCATATAAAAGAAGGTATGAAAAGGAGAAACAATGACTTGTGGTTAGGCTTAATGTAAGATTGTGTATATCCAATATTTCTTGCTGCATACTTCTCTAGATGTTCAAGCATGCAATCTGAGTTTTTTTGATAATCAAACTATTGATGCTGTTATATATGGTTTGTAGTTCTTTGGGGTTAAAAAAAGAAAAAGAAAAGGCAATTAACCGACTACTGTATTGTTTATTTATATTTAAATTGTATTTGTCTCTATTATTCTCAAGGAACCAAACAAAACAAAAACCTATATTACATGGATCCATTGCTTAGCTCACTGATTATTCACCGTGATTAGAGGATTTTGTTGAACCTTCTTGCATGTCTGAAATTAACATCTTTCAAACCCATTTCAAACTCACCTTCTTTAAGAATGTTTGATGAATTGCTCAGTAGATTTAAACTTGCCTTTTTTCTGTGCAGAGGAACATTACTGTAATCCCCGTGATTGGCATAATGTGGGATAAAAATGCATTCAACCCAGTCCCAAATGTTGACGAGGTGGAAGCAGTATTTGATGCTCCTTTAGAAATGTTTATAAAGGTTTGTTTATCTATAAATATGTTCATGCTTGGCATTTATTCCTGGTTGCTCTTTATAATAGTACTTTGTATTGCCGGATTCAGGATGAAAATCGAAGAGCAGAGGAGCGAGAATGGATGGGAAATAAATATCTGCTCCATTTCTTTGATCATGAAGTAGACAATGAGACCTATGTGATATGGGCTTTGACTGCTGCAATTTTAATAAAGGCTGCATCAGTTGTGTACGATCGGCCACCTGCTTTTGAAGAGCATAGGCCTAAATTCTGGAGTAGAAGTCGCCAATGAAGATGTTGCTGCGATCTCCTCATAGTAAGTATGTTCGAAACCCCCAAGTGAATGTTTGGTTCGCTATACTAGACATGTCTATAGCATAATAGACAAGATTTAATCTTTTTTTCTTTTTGTCATTGATGTCAAATCTCATAGATTCCATTCTACCAAACACACCATATGGGTGAAAAGCTATTTTGTGAGCATGCCATTGACCCATTGAGCTGAAGGTCAATTTATGTGATACTGTGCTTGTTGTACACTTCATAATTTATAGTGTTAAGTGGTTTTTTAGCATTGTTATTCATCTTTCATCTGCATATGGAAAGAGTAATATAATGATGAATATAGTGACCGAATCAACTAAGCTTTAGATGTATTGTGCTAGAATGGATAATATAATAATATATGTTGAAAATAAAGATAACAGCATAAATTAAAGGAACAATGACTAAGACAGTCAACCTTGAGGGATTGCTCAATTGGTCAGGCCTTGTGTTTGCTCCCCAATAGTCATCAGTTCGAGTCCCCTCAAGACCACTGAGGTGAGTATCCGACCGTAAACTTCAGGCCCCGTGGAATTAGTCGAAGTGCGCGCAAATTGGCCCGGACATCTACGGTTATCAAATTAAAAAAAAAATGACTATGACAGTCAAAACAGGCTCTTGATTATAATAGTGATGATGTCACTAGATTATGTTAGATTGAGTTCACCAAAATTTCGCATTTTTTAAGAGAATAAAAATTGTAGTTCTTGACCTACTCTTGTTTATCTCATCTGCATTATTTTTTACTATTTTATTCTTAACTAATCTTATAATTTTTAATAGATAAATATATTAGTGGTTTTGTGTTATCAAATGTTTTATTTTTTAAATGATAACAAATATTTTTATTAGACTAAAGAATGCAGGAAATAATACTGTCTGGTCAAACTCTTTAGTGTATTATAAGAATAAAAATACCTGAAAAGAACAGTGCAGCTATACCCAATTTTCCTTGGTAAAATTTCTTATTTTCAAATTTGGTTAGTTGGGTTTGAGTCTAGACACTGAAAGATTCGTATAAATTCACGATGCTTCTTATTTATAGTTTACTACGGAAATGCTTAACAGTAATATAAGACTGGCTCCGTTTATTCGCTTTGTTAAATGCAGAATTTATAGTATATTTTTCTAATTCAACATAATATCAAAGTAGATTCCATTTATTCGACAAAACTTTCACATTATTCTACTTTAACATGTCCAAACAACAACAGAAGAAGAATACTAATACTAGAATACATAAATTGAGTTTTATCCCAACCCAAAGGAAGAAAAATACTAATACTAAAATATTTAAAGTGTGCTTAATCCCAACCCGAAATATACTGGAGAACATAATATAGTACTAGGGAGAATGGATAAAGGAAAAATGCCAATAAACAAGTCCATAATGGATAAGTGTTGCATGAATATGCCATTAGACCAATCACCCCACAGACCATTAAAATTGTGAGCACTTCAGCAGAATAACTCCATGTCAAATCTTTTGCATAAACAATTACTAAAAGTGCTGTTAATCCCGTGATGTTGTTCGTCACCACTCCACCGTAAATCTGAAACACACAAATATTTATGTCGTGTTAGGTATACACTATTAAATAATATTAAAGAAGAAAAAGCTAAAATCTTGTTCATTTTATTGTCAATACACTGTACCATGTTCTTTGCAATTATCAGTTTTGAATGCAGAAGACTCGTTCTTCGGGTTACTGACAAGGGCTTAAGAACACATTGATTCAGTTTCACATTTAATTTTTATTGAACATTCTGGAGTCTAATCATAGTGTATGCTTAGGTTAGTTGTGTGCAAGAAACTTATATCATATTGTACACTTTTTTTTTTTTATTGTCAAAACCTGCAGCCATAGTCATAGAGTGGGTGTAGCTCTCACATTGAGAGCGCCACTAAAAACTTGTTTTCTGGTTTTATTATTGCTCTCGTTAATTGATTCGTAACAATTTCAAGACGATATATATCGATGTCTCGAAGTCTTTACCAATAAAGAAGGAGGAGGAAAGAGAGGGAGATACCTCTGAAAATGTCAAAGAAGCAGTTCTTGAACTCTTTTGGCTTGCTGGAAATATTGCTGAAATGGCTGTTGCTGCATTCATGGCAGCTGGTACTATCACAAAAGATATGAAGAAAGAAGGGACACCAATGGCATCTGATATTTGTTCAATGCTAGTCATAAGAGGCCCAGAGAAGAAGGTCAATACAGCAATTCCCAATATCACTTCAAATACGGATTTGCTAAAAGGCCATGTCATTGATTTAAACTTGGAACTTCCACTTTGTTTCCCTTCATTCACTAAGTTGTCAACTTCTCCCCACATAATCTGCAAATTTCAAAACAAAACCACTGTAATTGTTATGGATTATACCCTAATCCGTACTGTGAAGAGTAATAATTTAACAAAAACGAAATCAGAAACAGACAAGCAAATATACAGATGTATAATGTTTGGCGTTTAATGTAGGAGCTTCGTCCACTTGCAAATATACGTAATGAATAGGGTTTATCAAGCAGAGAGGGACCTCTCAATTCAAGTTGGTGGAATATTGTTTGCAACAAGCAAATGCTTTTGCTTACCTTGTCAAATTCATCTATAGACTTCTTTGCATCCTCGCATTTTGTTACATCAATGGCTTTATTAAGCCATTTAGTTACTCCATCGACAAATTCTTCTTCGTCGATTATGTTGTTACCATCCTTATCTAAATCTTTCATCACCTTCTCTATCACACCCTCGCGATCTAGCTGCATTTCTCCAAATTTGACAGTATGGATTACTTGCTCCATTTCGGATTTGGATATCGAGTTGCTTCTGTCAGTATCAAACTTATTGAACAGACTTGAAAAAGAAACAAAAAAAATCATCAGAAAGTTCTGGTATTTTTTATGAAACAACAAACAATAAGTGCACATTTAAAACATAGTATTAGACCGTATTGAACAAGACAAGAATTGGGATTCTTTTTTCTCGTTTAATGTTATCTAGTATTGGCTAATCCACCTTGCAAACATGAAGTAAAGGAAGAGAAATTACTCTTTTATTCGATTAATATCTGGGCTTCCATCATCCGAGAGAAGATATTTTCCTTCAAGTGCTTGGCTTTGAGCATGCTTCAAAATCCTTGCCATTAGATGCTCAACCTCTGTGAGTATATTTCTTTTGTTTAGCTTCTGCACTACCTGCTGTTTGAACTAAAATAAGTGGATTGCAACATATATAGCTACGGAATTTTTGGTAACGTGGATTGTCACGATCATGTCCAGTACTCATTCCCCTAATGTATATCAGCAGTTTTAACAAATAAATCATAATGTTTTAAAAATGTTCAAATCTAAACCGAAAATATCCCCTTGAATCTGCCGAAATCAATTGAAATGCACCATCAAAGAGATAGCTTGCCTCGCGTAAGAACTTTCTGGGGGTAGAATCGCCACTTTCAGCCAACTGCTTAGCTTCGTGTATCCATTTTGAGCATCCCTCTACGAACTCATGTTCTTCTATTCTTCCATCCGTATTCAGGTCGAACGTTTTCAGAATTTCAGATTTAGCATAGTCTTTGTCTACCTGCACCTTCCCCTTCCCCTTCCCCTTCTGGATATCAAGTATCAACTTTTCCAATTCAGGAATTGTAATACAGTTGTCATCATCTTTATCTGTTTGGGAAAATAATCTGCAACTACAAATCTACAAATGAGAATCTTCCTTGGGCTAAACTATCGAGCTTTCAAAGTGCTGAAAGGACACAATTTGATATGTAAACTGTAATGCCTTGTTTGGTAAGGTAGACTAAAATATTGTATATTAAACATGCCTCGACTGTATAGCTTATATCAAAGTTACCTTTTGATGACTGGAACATTAGGTTGTCCATTTTCATCAATAAGCTTTTCTTGGGCATGTCTTTGAACATGATGCAGAAAACCAGCTAGCAAATTTTCATACTTAAAGTACTCTAAACTTCTTTCCTGAATCCAAGGATAAAAAATCTGCCAAAAAAAGAGCTATTGAACCACTTATATATTGACTTGTGTCATTCCTGTAAATGAGTGTGTTGCTAGCTCACACAACGCTAGCTAGCTACCTGATAGACGAAGTAGGACAGTAGCAATAAGGTTGATAGTATAAGCGCAATCAGAATCACGAGGCGATCTCCAAATGACGTGTTCAAAACATTGGTTAATTGCACTAGAATATAAGGGATCAAAGAAAGAAGCATAATCCCAGCTGTGTAACAAGTCTTTTTGTCAATTGTGACACCAGTATCTGCAGTTGAAAAACACTACTTAGTTCATAAAAATGCAACTGCGTTGATTGATTTATTTTTGATGAGTACACAAGTCGAAAAAGAGCGAACCGTTCAAGTCTGATAGTTTTTCTTTGGCCAGCAAACATTTTGAAACTGAAGAGCTTGTTTGCTTAGAAGTTGATTTTGCAGATAACTCTGTTCTGCCAAAGATTACGCACATACCCCACATCACTGTGAGATTAAACACGGTGGATCCAGCGTACACACCTACTCCGAACGAAACCTTAGATTGAGCAGTCTCTTTGTTCTGGAGTACTCCAGATACTGCAAGAAACAAAAGATTCTGTTAGGCAATAAGCCGTAATCCCAATAACCAGAGAAATATTAAGCAAAGCAAGCACAAGTTTATAGTGGTTTGTACTCAACGTGAGAACTACGTTCACTTGTAATGCATATTTCTTGCTATATTGAAGTTTGCAAGGTTTTTCACACCTTTCTGTCTTGTTTATCCACTTGGCGTATACAACTACTTACCAATCACCATAACCAGTTTTGGCAACACCTTGAGGATTCTGAAAACACTAGCACCATATACACCAGTGCCTAGGATATTGAATAGAGTCTTGCTCCCTTCTGCTACAAGTTTTCCTCCGATTATCAGTATGTACTGATAAACAACTATTTGAAATATATAGCCTCCAATGTTTTCTGCACATGGGAAGAATCCATACTTAAGATGGCACGATTTTAACTGTAGAGACCACCAGGCCGACTTAAGAAATGGTGGTTGATTACTGACTCGATCAACCCCATCTGAAATTAGACCATCAGAAGAACTGAGTCTTAGAATTCGGGCTTGGACATGGCCAATGGCTAATACAAGCATGAAAATGTATGGCAAAAGGCTAGGCATTGATAAAGATATATGAGACACGCAATGAATAGCTAAGTTTAAATGAGTTTAGGAAAGGGATATGGAACGTATAAAGTTTTTCATGGATTTATAAATGACTTGTGCTCAAGGGATCTCGAATATAGGGAAAACGAGAAAAGAAATATTTTACTACTACTTATGACATGATTTAGGGAGTCCCTGTTTGGTTCAACTAAAAAGTTAGATTAAAATCTAAATCTAAATTAACAATTAATTTTAATCACATGTCATGAGATTCCCAACTTTTCAACCCACATTCCATCATTTTTTTATCAAAATCTAGTAAAAATTTAATTTTCATCTAAACCAAACATGAGTATGTTTCACGATCAAGTATGAAGCTTGTACAAGGAAAAAATGGTCATATAGATTCGTTGAGTCGAACATTAAATAAAGTGTAAAAAACATATTAACTCATTTAAATGGCAGGCATATAGAGAAAAGGAGAAAAGAAATATTTTACTATTTCTTGTGACATGATTTACGTAGTCCATAACTAAAAAATTAGATTAAAATTTAAATCAAAGTTAATAATTAATTTCAATCACACATATCATGAGACTCCCAACTTTTCAACTCACATTCCATCATTTTTTATCAAAATTTAGTAAAAATCTAATTTTTATCTAAATCAAAGTATATTTCACAATCAAATATGAAGCTTGTACAAGAAAAAAATGGTCATATAGATGCGTCGATTCGAACATTAAATAAAGTGTGAAAAAACACATTAACGCATTTAAATGGCAGACATGGAAGAAATTCGACATGATGACAGACAGGAGCGAGCTGATACACCTTTGCTGCATTAATCGAGACTGCACAAGATAGGAATTTCCTTTTGAACTTGTGTCTCTGGAGTATTGGAGAATAAATTCCCTCATCACTTGCTCCACATTAAAATAGAATATAATCTGGACGTTGTAGGTTATACTATGGGTCCACATTTTTCACTTCGCTTCAATATCTCATCTCTGCCAAATAGAAATTTCTACGTCCTTTTAACGTTCCCATTTAAAGAAATCTTGAGACCATTTTGAGTTCCAAGAATTCAACACAATCCCACTGGATGACAAATAAAATCAGAGAAATAGTTTAGATGTCTGTAAAATGATTGGCAGCCACCAAAATCATCATTGCAAAGAATTCCAGGTCTGTGAACATAATTATCATTACATCCATCCCAAAAAACGAAGTGGAAAAAAAAAAAGGAAAAATTTAACTCATCTCTTAGTCTCAATAAAAAATGGTCCAGATACATGAAGTACATCAATACATTCAATTTTGAACTGTGTTCTATTATCTAGTTTATAACTCTTCGACTGCAAATCTTTATGCTACATGGCCGAATGGAAACTTATCTGTAGCTCCTTCCCCTTCCCCTTCCCCTCCCACGTCCACCACGGCTCCTCGCCCTGCCAGTGCCCCTTGAGCCACTTCTCCCTCCATAAGATAGGCTTTCAAATGCCCTATTAGCATACTGATTTTGCATATTGCCAGCTCCACGCCCCTTTTTCAAAGTACTATTGCCAGCACCATTAAGAGAATCAACAGGACGCTTCCCCCTGCAGATGAAAAAACAATAAGTAGACTGAATTTGTTTCCTCTCCGGAAGAAGCACCAAATTAACAGCATGGAAGATACGGTGAAAGAAAATTTACATTACAGAAGGCACTGTAAGAAATAAAAAGTTTCTGTTTGAACTGGCATTCAAGCAACTGAAGATTGTGAAAAAGGTGGCTAGATCATAATTATGAGATAAGAAAAAAAAAAAATTCTTTTTTGGTCAGCATCATAACTTTCACTTCATAATATACTGTATGTACCCTCCCGTGCAAAATTATAATCACTACTGCTGACATGTTTTCATCCTACCAATTAACACCACCCGCCTTCTAGTTGGGGGCAATTATACTCTTCAGATTCACAATTTATTTAATTAGATCAGAAGGAAATTGGAACTGATATTACTGAATGTTCTGTTAGGTATTTTCAGAACAAAGATGCAAGATCTGATAATACATTCGTGATAAGCATATTGCTAACGTTTTTAAGAATGTTAAACTACGTAACAGGACTTTTTTCCTTATGTACATAGTCAAATTTCTTGCATCTCAAAATATATTAGTAAATAGAATGTGCTCAAATGTTCAATTTAGTCAACTCACTACAAGTGACGATAGGATACATACCCAACAGTAGGAGTTGATGTCGTCGAAGGTTTCACAGTTTCTTTCCAGGATAAATTAACTTTCTTGTCACCAATAAATGAAGGTGACTTGGAGTGCAGTGGCTGTATTTTCAAAACAATACGAGAAGATTAGTTCAAAAACATGCATATGTACTTAGAATTCCAAACTACTTTATGTCCAAACCTGTGTCATAGCCAAGATGTTATTGCAAGTTCGCAATCCAGTCGTAGTGTTCTGCTTCTGCATTTTCTGCATAATGCAAATGTCATATATGTTAATAGTTGGAAATCAATTAACATGCTAGGTCTTGTAAGATGAACTCACAATTCTATCCTTCGCTTCATCAGATGAAGCAGCTGCCAATGCTTTGTTGTGTTCAGCCATTCCCTGAGTTAACTTCTTCATTGTAGCCCTCGCTAACTCTTCAACGCAGTTCAACCTGTGGCATTAACAAAAGATTATTAAAAACGTGCTTAGGTCATGAAGATATTATATAAGTTACATTTTTAAACAAAAGGAGAGATTGGTGCATGAGATAGTGAACAGGGGAAGTCTTTTACATATTGTCCACCTGTTCATATTTTCTGCAGAAGCTACAATGAGCTATCACTGGTTTGGTTAAGAAAATAAATCATGCAACGGACTCATAAAGTCCGTGCTCTATAATTTCCTTCCCTCTATTTCATAAAGAGCATCTCCGTGTAACATTCCTTCACTGCTGTCTGCTGCTACAAATATTTAATGGGTGAAGGGCTAGCTACAAGAAGACACTACAATTTTCTCTTTTCCAGATGGCTCTACAGTACAGCCCAAGATTCCAAGACAAACATAGGGAAATTAAATTCGGGGTAAGTTGAAGTCACCCAACTTATATTTTTGGCAACACAGTTTTTTGGGTGCTAAATGAAATACTAAATATCGCTTTTTTTTTTTTCTTTTAAAGAGACTTTCCTAGTGACAGATGGCATACATATAAATACAGGGCCAATCCCATTAGCTAGAACTTCCACTAGCCACTGGTCATGAAGCAGTCAGTTTTGGAAACATTTAGAGATGGAATGCTCAAATTTTAATAAAAATATAAATTGGGCGTTGGTGACCAACACGAAATAAACGTGTAAGTTGGGTGACCTCTATTGAAATTTTCCAGAAATTATGCAGACAAATTTGTTTTAAATATTTTAGGAGAAAAATAAATAGAATAAAGACAACGGTGGTAGGTTGAATAAACTAACCTCTCTGTGAAATCTTTGTATTGCTCAGAGAAGTCCTCCCCAAGCCTATCCGACGGTTGCCCAGTGACAATCTTGAAACCACATAAGCTATTAGTGGCATTTGGAGCCTGTCTAGTCACAAAAGAAAACATATGAGGACTAAAATAGCAGTTACACAAAAGGTGTTACAATGGAAAAATCAAGAAGCAATAATAACCTTATGAGATAAATGGTGGAATGTGTACAACAAGCATTCAACATAGGTAAAGTTCATCTCTTCTCCTGCTTTTCTTCGAGGCATGTACTTCTGAAACAATGGAAGAGAGGTTTCATGAGGCAAAATGTCAAATAAGATAGAAATATTCTAAACAAAATTCCCTTGCATTGTAAAGGTGCTGGCTTCATAGTTCGAAAAAACATAAACGGGTACTGAGGCGTTTTTTTGTCATAAGGGGAGGCGTAAGCCTCAAAACGCTTTGAGGCATAAGCCTCACCACAAACAAAACAGGTGCAATCTGCCGAACAGAACAGGTGCACTCTGGCGTCGATGCACTTAACAAGAAAAAAATCAAGCAAAGTCNTAGCATCGTTAATGGAATTATCATCATATCTAATTTCCCCATCATCTTCCTCTTCGCTACTCTCAATTTCTGACTTTTGAATTTCTGTTGAATGTTTTCCTTTTTGGTCTTCTAATTTCTGGCTGTCGTTTAGTTTTCTAGGTATTTTATTGTTTTATTTGGATCCAAAATGACTTTTTAAATGGGCAATTTTCTTTTTTAAGAAGGGTTCTTTCTGATTTCTTTTCATACAATTGAAAAATCAAATTTTAAATGAGGCGCACGCTTTGAGGAGTGCGCCTCTGATTTAGAGGCTTGTGCCTCATATTTTTAGCTTCTAAATTACCGCCTCGAGGCTTACTATATGCGCCTCACAGTGAGGTGGGCCTCATTTCATACCATGGCTGGCTTCTTGCAACATTTCTTTGGTTAGGGTCGGGGGTTATCTAGGCCCTATGATGCACCGACACAGACACGTATGTCCGACACGATACGTGTTGAATACGCCAACAATCGATTTTTCAAAAAAATACTGACACGACATGTCGCTAACGCATTGATTAAATTTTTTAAAATTCTTCATTTGTATAGTATAAATTTAGTTTTATACTTGTTATTAATTTTTCTTGTTGAATTTTTTTAAATATGAATAGCTATCTGTTATTTACTAATAACTTTGAGTTAAAAATTTAAAATATTTCTAATAAAAAAAGATAAATGATTATCATAGAGTGTCCGAGAAGTGTCAGTATCGATCTCGGACACGAACATGCTACCTTAATTGAAGTGTCCGTACAACAAAGTCTAGGCCAGTATGACTTCTAAATCAGTTGTAATATATATTTCTCAAATCCCTACGGAGAGTGCATTTATAAGTACTAATTGCCATAAACTAAGACTCCATTTGGCAAATTTATAAATGGCTTATAAAGAGGAATAGTAGTAGGTCTCATGAAATGTGTGAATAATAATTAGTAGTAATTGTGAATGTGTGGTTAAAATTAATATTTGACTTTGACTGAATTTATAAACTCTATATAAATTTGTATCCAAATGGTGGTTAAATTCTTAAACTTGCCTTCAACAGCAGAACAACACAAGGCAGGATTTGTCTCGAGTCCTGTGGTGAGGTGTAAGGTGAACTCTCGGCGATGTTTTTAAGAAGGTCCACTCTTCGTTCTTCGGGAAGCTGAAACAGAAACCATGCAATTTTCATATAGAACACATTGTTTATTTATAATATGGAAATTGTGGTCAAGAATCATGAGAACATAAAATGAGAAACTAATGCAAAAGCAAGGCTCTATATATAAAAATACAAGGCATGTGAACCTAGTAGCTGAATATTACAACGGAACAAGCCCATAAGGCAATTACCTCATCAAAAACTAAAAAAATGTGTTTGTTCACATAGTTGAAAAACTTGCTATTAGATGCACCTCTCTGCATATTCAAGAAGTTCTAAGGCTGTAAGAGTACATTAATATGTAAATAAATTAGAGTGACAATTACTATTCAGTTTAATACCCACCTCGAAAAAGGGAACAGCCATGAATAGACATGAAATCAGTCTATCAATATGGTCTCCATCCGTAACCTGCAATAGAAACCATTCTAATAATTTAGTATTGTGAAAATGAAACTTCAAAACAACAATTTCTTTTATTCTTTCTTTTATTTCTTATTTCTCTTTTTCATCTAAAAATCGGGAGCTGAGACTTAAGCAATCATTCAGAAACTCGTACTCAAAACCATCGAAGCCAATTGTCTCACATTTTAAACAGTTCAGGCAATGGCCAACAGGCTCAAAAAAGTATATAAAGGAGACAACATAACTAAAACCAGTCACGGCCATAGTTCAGCTCTCAAAGCAAACAGAACGAGAACCCTCTGATCCACCAAGATGATAATTCATTTTTAACGACTTCAGAGGCCAACCACAGACTTGGGGTAATTTCAGAGGAAAATGTAAATCTATTCTGGTGGAGAACACTTAAAATACGATTTTTTTTTTCTGAACAGTGCTTCTCAAAGACTGATCAAAGGGGGAGTGTGAGGTATTTTCTGCTCCACTCCACCTCCAAGTTAAGCCAGGGGTGGTAGCCACAGTGAAACAAAAGAATAAAGGCTGCAGTGGTCTTTATTCTTTGACTCAAGGAAACCACTTCTAAGTACACTCTTTATGGCAAAATTCATAAGCCTATGCACATTTCTCCTGCAAATAAATATTTCCATTCTACATGAAATCTAAAATCCCATCACTTTGCAAAATTTAATTAAAATTAAAAAATATCAATCACGAGCCAGTTGATAAATTAGCATTGAAACACAGCCATGGAAAATCAGGACCAATGAGTGAGAACTGTTTACACATAATCGACAACTACACTTTCACTGATGTCCAACAAGAGACAATCCTAACATCGGGATTTGCCCCTTTAAAAATCTTGTACTGCTGAGCAACAAAAATGATTCCGTAACATGAAGTCTTTCAGGCTGTTGAAGATGTGAAGTTCTGGCCCTACATGGAGTGATTCTTCATTAATAAAGTCTATCAGAGAAAAAGAACACATCCAATGGCCATCCCAGAAATTAAAAGCACATCAAGTCAAGGGTTTCTTAAATAGGAAAGCACTCATTCCTACCACTTCAGTTACTAAACACAATCAAGGCTATATAATGGCCCATCTCCACTTGAGGACGCAAATTAGGGAAAGCTAGTTGTTGGGCTCTATGGTTTACTCATGAGAATAATACAGGTTTTAGAATCTTGGATTATAAATTGTGAAGTTGGAATTGCTTCTGCCAATATCCACAACATAATGTAATCTTTGTGTCGAATATACAAAGTAAAAATTTTATTTCCTTGTGAAGGCACAAAAAAGAGAACAAGAGACGAATATTATACTAAACAAGACCTAATAAAGAGAATACTCACATTGAATTGTGCATCCAAATCAGCTTGGCCTTCAATGATTTCAATAAGTTCTTGCACTCGCTCTGGAGGAGCTTTCTCACCAAATATGTTCAAGTTTTTTAAGAAATCCATAAACATTTTAAATTCAGCTCCTGTTACATCTTGTAGACTCTGCAATTCAACACTCAGTCAATCTTACATCTTGTTCTAAAAATACCATATCAAAAATAGTTATGCATAACTGATATAACAGTAGCAATTTTCTTTACTTTCTACCAAGAAAATTCGATACTAAAGGAATATATAGAACTCCACTATCTTTTGAGAAGAAGAATTAAATAGTGAAACACGTATCCTTCGCCACAAGAGAAGAAAATGAGGGAGAAATACAGTGACGATATACCTTTTTAATAAGATCAGTTATGTGTCTTTCCATTTGATCTGAAGGCTTCAAGAGCTCGGCTTTAAGAGGAAATACCTGCATTAAATATTTCCAATAGAAGGACCCAGTCATCGCATTATTTAGCTCTAACCGTTTAAGCCAAAAACAACCATAAGTCAAATAAATTGGCACGCAGTCACAGTGTTTATCTTCCGACCTTATCTCTAATAAAGATTAGGGTTCTCTCACGAAGATTTTCATCTACTATTTGCTCGTCGACGCTCTCAATGTGCTTGAACAGGGCTGTCAAAGAAGCTGCATGAAGAAAGCATTACTTAATTGAAGCTCAAAAAGATTAAATCCAATTAAAACAAGTAGTAGTTCAACAACCCAGCCCCATTCCTCCGAACAGACAAAGCCACGAGGAAAAAGAAAACAAATAGATAGATAAAGCATGATAAAGTCAGCTGAGGATCATGCAGCAAAAGAATTTTATAGGACTTACATTAACGCTAGACAAAATACGTACAGATCAAATACAGAGCTCAATATTCAGGAACATCAAGACTAGAGGTGGAAATCCATCTAATATCTTTGACAGTGCAAACACAGAGCCATAGAACAGAATTACATCACTTCGTTGTGCATTTCACTAAGGTCCCACTACTTCAGCCCAAACCCTACAAGTTATCAATCTATATTTGTTACTTCACACACACACACACACACATATGATCTGTAGCCTCGTCCCAATGACATCTCATGTCCATGTTTCCAACACTGCAGGTATCCTATAGTTATTGGAGACAGGCTATTATCACCCATCAGGCAATCCTAATAACTTTTCTTTCTTGTTGTTTTAGATGTGGCTACACTAAGCCACTTACATGATGATGCTACTTGCTCCAGGACCTCTCAAATAAATCACTAATAATGCTTGTTTGCCATCTCAAAAAGTAAATTCCCACAGCTCATATAATTTCGGGAGTTGGAATGACAGGTTATGTAAAACAGAAGCTGCAATTTGAACTCAACTTTACAGATAAACATGGAAGAAGCCCATGTTTCAAAAGAGCAAGAAGAAACCTACATCTTTATATATCTAGAAACTGCCTCCCACTTGGAATTTCTTAAAAGAATGGTTTTATCTAGGAAAATGTGTGAGATGTATACTGAATTATTGGGAAACAAAAAACTTGAAGGGATGCTATACATTAGACACAAAAAGATAGCATTAAACCTTCCAAATAATCTTGCAGCTACTTTCAATCTTTTTTGTGCATGAGACTGTATATTTCGTTACAGAGTTTAAGACTATCTTCAATCAATCCACAAAGATTATTATTATTATTTTACAGTGATCAAATCCAACTATGAGGGTGTTTGGTGGGGATTAAAATTAGATTTTTAGTGGATTGTGATATAAGTTTTTCAAATGTGTGGTTAAAAAGATGTGGGACCCATGAAAGATATGGTTAATATTGTTTGTTTGACTTTCACTTAGATTAAAATCAGATTTTAATCCGGCCTATACATGCCCTAAATTAGCATACCATGTCTAATGGCCTCATCTCCATTATCTCCTCGTAGTGCCATAGATAGGACCAAAGTTCTTAGGGAAGAGATTTCAAAGCTTTAATTCCTGGCTATATATGTTGATAATGCAGTTATTAAAGAAGTCAATTTGACGTTTTAAGGATAAACAATAACAATCACTGCAATCTTGTACCCAAATCGAACCTTCTGCAATATAATCACAGGCTAGGGGCCCTTTCCCAATACTACCCTACCATAATCAAAATTTCAATCAAAATAAGATGCAAAACGTACGTATAGATAGTCTTTCACATTTCAACAATAAAAAGAATACCTTTTACATCTTGCCTCAATAAGGACAAAAGGGCTTTATGCACTGCATCCCGCTCCACATTTTCCTCTAGAACCATTAAGAATATTCAGGATTAAATTTATTAAAATATATTTCTTTGTTTTTCTTATAAGGAGGCTTTAGCACTCTATATTCCTAACAGATAAACTTGAAATAAGTTAACTAACCAGCAGTAAGGAGCTGTGCAAGAATGTCAACAATTTTAGAAAGATGCTCTGGTGTATCCTTGCAGAAAAGAGGAAGGCCGCGAATGGCTTGCACACGAATCTGAAAATGTAAATTACACATGTACACTGAACCTTAAATCCAGTAAGGTTAAAATAAACACGTATGTACAATAATAAATATTAACAAATGTACCAGACAACAACAATTATTGGCTAACCCAGTAATATGAAGGAGAAAAGAATAATTACTTAAATCTAATCCACCTTCATGCTTGAATACAATGTTAAAAGATTCTAATCTCACATCCATTTCACACAAAAGATAAATAGTTTCATGCAAACAAAAGGGAGAATCTGACCCCAAGCTCTTCAGCTTCACACAAATCAAGATGTGCATCAACAGCATTGACCGATAGGCCTGGAAAATACTTAAAAAACCTCGGAATAAGCTGCGCTGCTAATTGCCTTGCTTTTACGCTGCTACTCTTGGCCGTCTTTATAATATTCTCATAGTCCTCCGCATTCTATACACACGTATAAAATACACATACGTTTAAACAAAAAAAAAATCTTTTAAAATCAAAAGAAAAAGGGAGACAATTAAAAACCCTAGAATGGAAAATCGGAAAGACTATCAAATTGATTCAATTGAAGTAAATTATGGAACCTGAGACTTGTCTTTGGCCTCGTTCAGTCGTTCTCCGTACTCGTAGAGCTTCTCGATGTCCTTTGCGTCGTCGGAGGTTTCTGCCATTGCTTTACAGTACGTGTTTGTGAGTGAAGAAAGTGACAGCTTACCTGCAGATATAGAGTAATCGTTGCAATATACGGGCCCGCGTAATTGAGTGAACTGAGTAGAGAATATGTAAGACCTACAGTCGGAGGATGGATTTGAGTTGACTCAGCTGAGGAAGGTTTGGGATTTTGGTGCGGATACGAAGAGGAAATTCCAAACACGAGATTGTACAATGATGACCACGGGTAATACATTTGTTTTAAAAGTTTACTTGATTTAACCATGTTTGATTCTGCTAAAAAATTAATTAAGCCATCATTTGACAATTCTTAAAATAAATTTTTTTTCTCAAATTCATTTTTAATTATACATTCTAATAAAATATTTTGCACTTTTTCTTCTCACTTTTTAGCCATACATTCTCTAAAACAATCATTATTTCAAAACTTATTTTTCCTGCTAAAAAAATTATTTTAATGGTTGTCAATCGCAACTAAAATTCAAGTCAAAATTAATAATTAATTTTAGGGACCAAACATTTCACTTAGTAACAGACTTTGTCCAAACCTTTCATTTGTGCTATCGTAAGTACCAAACATTTAGAAAATTCACAAATCAAGTCCAGATTGACGGTTTCCGTCATTTTCACTACATGTTCGACTTTTCTTTACCGAATTTCATAATCTAATGATTTGTTTTTCTTTTTTTATCTTTTCCTTAATCCTAAGACGTAGCTCTTGTCTGTCTTTCTTTAAAACAAAAATCTTTGATTTTTATACTCATTTTCAATTGTGCATTTACACAATAAAATATTTTGAAAATAAATCCAAAATTTTCATCATTTTTTAACTACACATTCTCCAAAAAAATATTATTCAAAATTCTATTTTTTCAAAATAATGGCTATTGAATAGGAGCGTAGTTATTTGTAAAACGTGTTTCCATATTTTTCGCAACACTTTCCGTGGTAGCATTTTTAAGATGGAATAAATATATTATTGAGTTAATGAAACCTTTTATACTTCAATTAACTCTTACTTTTCAAAACTCATTTTTATCCAAATTTCAGTCTTAAATCCTTCTTCTTCATATATTATTTGTGGCATGCAAAATTAAAAAGAGCTAGTGGTTTAGCTACAAAAAATAAAATAAAATAAAATATTAATGTACATCACATAGATCATATTTATCTAATAAGTCACATGCAAATGTGTAAATATAAAATAGTTTTTCGTTTTTGCCATAAAGTATTAAGAGAAGTTTTACGCCTCTTCCAGCGAGACTCCAAACATGACCACGTGGCAATAACACAGTAAGCAAACCTAGACCAGTACTCCATGTGATTCTATTCTTATGAGAATTTTGGTTGAAGCCGAACCCTATGGAAAGGTCAAATCCATACAAAGGGTCGAACCCTCATTGATAAGGCGAGGAAGGTAGAGGCGCTGCAGAGGATCTTCTGTACAAGATCTTCTATTTATGATTAATTTGACAATACACTACAAACTCTCATTTTATCTAGTCAACATGTTGAGTCTAGCTTCCATGCGATAGGACTAGGACTACAAAATGTCATAACATTAAATGTGTCTAAGACTATGATTGATCAATTGATGCCTACGATAACGTACCTCAGCCGTTAGGATGAGACCACATGATTCTTCATCCAACGGCTCTTACTCTTCCTCTTCTACTAGAAAAGCCCACCCATTGTGTCATTTAAAAGGTAAGCATGTTTAGAATTTTAAACTATAACTTTGATCTCTTTGCTATCATGAATTCTCCTCAAAGCCGACCCCTTTTTTATATAGGAGGCTCGCGTCTAAAGTCTCATACTCGAATACTTAATACTTTAATTGACTTGATCGTCGGAGTGCGCGGCCAACTTCACCACAACCGAAGGAAGCCACGTGTTACTAACAGTTTGTCATAGTGTGCAGGAATCACATTTACGTGAACGTGGAAAATTTTGAGATTTGTTGATAACATTGAAGGTACAAAAATCGAGGTCAACAAGAAGGAAAGGGACAATCAATGCTATTACAATTTCCCAGCTAATTAAATTACAAAACATGCGTATCTAATGCCTGCAAGACAGCCTAGAACTCAAATTCACGGGTTTCTTTGTTGAAAAGCACTACCAGTTTGTACCTACATCATTTAAGTAAAATGATTGTGCAGTCTCGAGAAGCCATTTTGCCTCTGAATCGGTCAGCTTACTAGCGAACACAATATCTCCAGAATAAGTACCAAGTCCTTGCTTTCTGCAAATTCTGCGTAGTACGAAGCAGTTAAGTATGGAGCAGCTTGGGTTCCTCTTGCCAGACTTGCCTTACAATCTTCTAGACCAGTGAAAGCATGCGTGTGTATGTGTTCAAAATCGTCAAAAAATCAATTGCAGGATAAAAGTTAATTAAGGTCTAACCTTGCTTTATTATCTTGAATGATTTCAAAATCGTCAACACATCAATTGCGGGAAAAAATTTAATGGGGTTTCAACAATTTACATCATCCCAAATGTTCACGAGTTCTTCAGTTGATTTATTCTTTGCCCTCTCTATATCAATAATCGACTCCAAGAGCTTGGTGAAATGGTGTGACCTCAGTTGCAAAGATTGATGTCCTGCAGAAACTAAGCGAACCCCAATCCAAGAATTCACTAGGAATTGTAGGCTTCTGCACATTGTCAAAATTCATTCACAGTTGAGATTGTAGTATAAGACTCTCTTGAAATTCTAGTAGGAGCATCTCCACTTAAAGCTGCCACGGAAGACAATATCCTCCAACAATGCTTTGAATGCTAGACGTTGCATTATATTCTTTTCTGCTACACAAGAATCTTTGAACATCCAATTGCCGGCAAATGGTTAAACACGGAAAATGAAAACCTTTTCAGTTTCATCTTAATTTTTATAAGCACGTAAATATTCATTTAAAGCCAAATGTCACAGAGTTGCAAATTTCAAGCACAGGCAGCCTTAGCTTTTCCTAACTTTCCACCCCTCGCGGTCAAGCTAAGTCGATCCATTCTATTAAATATCAAGACTTCCAATCATATATTTCCTAAGATAACTAACTTGGAACTTCTTTCTCTTATTATAGAACTGAATTACACCCGAGTTGAATAGTTCCATATACAAAATTTCATTTTTTAGGACTGGTTCTTAACTTGTGAAAAATACTTTGCACAAAACAAAAGGCTCAATCCACTCAATGAAACCAGAAACCAAAAATTGAAAAAGAGAAGGCAATTAAATGAGAGGCTGAACATATGGGCCATGGCCATTGAGAGCAACATATGGAGGGGAAAATGTTAAATTTATATAGAAAGGTAGTTAATAAGTTGGCGAGATTCCTCAATGCACTGCACATGCACTGCATTTAAAGTGGTGTTCTGGTCTAATTTTCTAGACGACGTGTTAATCAATATAATATTAAAGCACGTGAAATATACGTATATCATGTCAACATCTTCTATTCATGCTCTTTGTTTAGACGCTTGTTGAGTTTAGTCTATGAGCATGCTTCCATAACCAAGGGCATATTAGTACGTAATACTAAGAAAACTAAATTGTACAATAGATAAAATTAAGGATTATGCTATGGGTACATAACTCATAACATAGTGTCCATTATGCATGCTCCCCAATAGGGGCCTCCACGTGTCCATTATGGACACCATGATGAGAAAATGCTATGTCCTAAAATCAAAGTCGATCCATTGAGTTATAAATGTTTATAGGGTCATATGCTTTTGGCCACTTGGAAGTTAGACCTACAAAATAGAAGTTATGGACAGTTGGCCATGCCCGTGAAATGATGCTTTTTGCTTAACAGTGTTATTTTATCCAATATCAAACCAACAAGTCCTCAGACTTTAAATTTCCTATCAAACAAAAAGTGCAAACAGTATATGGTACAAGGGTAAAGCCTGCGTCATCCAGCAATAATTTCTTATCAAGAGCCACGTGAAAATGCAGTGAAACTTGATTTAGAATTTTGATATTGCTCGACAGTATTAAAGAAGAAAATGAAGTTTTTTGATCATTTTTATTATACTGTTTAGTCCTATTGAATATTGTGTGCCAATAGAAGAAACTAGTCGAGAAGTAACGCTTCCATGGTTTCATACTTTCATGGCACTGATTATACTAACCATATGAACCAACTATAATCAAAATATTTTTCTGCAGTTCTCTTCCATTTTAATAGGGATTGTCTGTGTGCGTGAAAATTTAATTCATAAATTCTGGGCCTCACGGGTTTTGATTCTCTCATTAATGTCACAAGTTTTTTCTCCCAACAACACTCGACCACAAGTGTTCACATCCATAATATTTGCTAATTTGCCCTACAACATTGCTCACTACAAAAAAAAACTGCCATGTCTGTCTCTTCCAATCCATTCCCTGTTATCATCTTCACGTTCATTTTCCTTGTTACATTGGCTTCACATTCTTTCCCCAAGTCCATACCCAATACCGCTCGCCGGCCGCCACTCCAGCTCTCTGTCGATTACTACGTGAAATCCTGCCCTCTGGTTGAGCAGCTTGTTGCATCCGTAACCTCTCTGCAATTCAGAGAAGCACCGGTATCTGGTCCGGCCACCATTCGCCTCTTCTTCCATGACTGCTTCGTAGAGGTATTTCCCCCAACTCCACATTTAATTGTTGAACCACTTCATCTAAAACTTTAAACCGCTAATCTAACGTGCGCAAGCTTCCTCAAGTTTAATCTGTCTTGTAATTATTTATGAATGGTGTTGCTTAAGGGGTGTGATGCATCAGTACTTATAAAAACAAGAATGGGAAGCAAAGAATTATCAGAGAAGGACGCAGAGGATAACAAGGAACTAGCGGCGGAGGCATTTGATAGCATAAAAAAGGCCAAATTATTGGTGGAGAGCAAGTGCCCTGGAGTAGTATCCTGCGCAGATATACTTGCAATTGCAGCCAGAGACTTCGTCCATTTGGTGAGACATATTTTCCTGTTATTTTGTTGATAGTCACAGACTATTGGTTAGGAAGTCTTAGAGATGGCAAACGGGCCAATCGGCTCATCAGCTCGGCCGCAAGTGAGCTCAGCAAGCTCGTGAGCTGCTCGTGGGCTCGTGAAAAATTGAAGAAAAATTTTAAAAAAAGGTGAAAAAGTAAAAAAAATCAAAATCAAAAAAAAAAAATCAAAAATCTCGTGGGCTCGCGGCTCGGCTTGTGAGCTCGTGGGCCAAGCCGAGCTCACCCATGAGCAAGCTCGTGGCTCGTTAGAAACGAGCCACGAGCTCGTGGGTTTAAGGGCCGAGCCGGCTTGACCCATTGCCATGACTAGGAAGTTTAATATAGAGTGATTAAATTAGAAATATAACAGCTGTGCAATTTTGGCTAGTATATAACCAGACAAATATTAATTTTTTATCTAATTTGGTTACTTATCAGTCATCCATGTAACTTCAAGTCTGTTGGTGCTTTTGAGGTCTTAAAAAATTAGGTTTTAACGGTTGTCAACTATCTAGTCCAATTATGTCAATCGGACCAGACAGCATACTGGTTTGCCGGGTTAAATTTCCAACGGATCGGTCCGCTTTTCAAAACACTAATTAGTAAGTAGGATATATATTGATTTCTTGATTTTGTATATATTAAAGGCAGGAGGTCCATATTATCAAGTGAAAAAAGGAAGGTGGGATGGAAAAATTTCCATTGCATCAAGAGTCCACTCCAATCTCCCTCGAGCAAATTCAACAGTAGACGAACTTATTCAGCTATTTAAATCCAAAGGCCTAACACTCGAAGACCTAGTCGTCCTCTCAGGTGCACACACTATTGGTTTTGCCCACTGCCATCATTTTCTCATTCGCCTATACAACTACAAAGGCATCAAGCAACCCGACCCAAACATTGACTCGAGGCTCCTAAAGGCCCTAAAAATGTCATGCCCACAATTTGGAGGGAATTCTGATATTGTTGCACCATTTGATGTGACAACCCCTTTTGCATTTGACAATGCATATTATGGGAATTTAGAGGCCAAAATGGGCTTGTTGGGTTCTGATCAAGCTCTGTTTTTGGACCCAAGAACAAGGCCTTTGGTTCAAAATCTGGCAAAGGACAAGCAGAAGTTTTTCCAGTTATTTGCTGCTGCTATGGATAAAATGGGATCCATTGAGGTGAAGAGGGGAAGGAGACATGGAGAGAAAAGAAAAGATTGTAGTGTGCATTTGTGACGACTGTTAAATTTTTACTTTAATTCATTTTTTCTTGGGTTTGACAATGTTTATGGTTGATTGATTTTAATTTATTATTCTTCATTTATAATTAACTGAACTTTTTTATTCTTTTGATGAGTTTGTAGGTTCTTAGACCCTTTGTCCAAACTAGAATTGATACTGCTAACAGAGTGACCAATTGTAATATAACAAAATTAAGTATGCAATTAAGAATTTTGATTGAAATGATAATGATGTAGAGTATGTTTCATAGGACTTTGTGAAATACTATTTGTAAACTTCAAAAGATTCATCATATACTTTACTGTCGATAAATATCATACTTCATGCTTCTAAAAAATGTACCTTTAAATGAGAATGCAAAGAGCTTCCATTTAAGAATAACTCCTTGTGTACAGGAATTATTTTCAGCAGGCCCCTCTCTGTAGCGCAGGCCCCACCCAAATATATTAAAAAAAACCTCTCTCAAAATACGCATAGTATTTTTTAATCAATAATATGTATAGTATTAAAATGCATAAATATACTGATGTGTAAAAAAAATAAAAACCTTTCTCAAAGACAAGAAATGCACACAGGCCACAGCATATATGTCATATTTCCCTTGAAAGGTAATGGTTTATTTGACATTTTCTACTCGTCTATTGAGAAATGCAACACATATATGTCATATTTCCCGTGAAAGTTTATGATTTATTTGACATTTTCTACACGTCCGTCATGATTTATCAAGGTCATACTGAGTTAACACAAAATAAAAGTATAAAAAATTCGAACGTGAACCCGAGCCTCTCGGGTTAGAGCCGAGTATCCTAACCAACTAGACTACAACACACTTATTAACTCAATGCAACTTATAGCCAGGTTTCAACCATTTAAATTTGTCAATAATTTCATATTACATCGTCAATAGAGCCTTTTCGAGATACTTTAATTTAATTTGTTGCCAAATAGTAGCATCTCAACACGTCCCTTTGTTTCCTTATTCTGGACCATGTTCTATGTACAAACATTCTACTAATTCAATTGGAATATACCTTAATGATGAAATTTCTTGTCCTAATGACGTTTTTTACATTCCCTACTTGTAATTAAACACTTTCCACAAGATTCTTGAATTTGACATTCCTCATATTCATCATTTTAATTTATTTATTAAGAAAATCCACTGGATTTTGCAAATTATAATATAAATTTTAAACTGACACGTTTGAAGAAATTTAATAGTGCTTCTACACTTCATCAATTTCCTAGGAATATAATATTTAAATTTATTAAAAACAGTATAAGGATTTAAAAAAAGAAAGTGTCCGTGTTTTGCGGATCCGAATATATTTCTAGTTTTTTTAAGACACTGAATTTTTTAAAATCATATCAAAATATATTTGAAATTAAAATAAATCTTACATTTAAAGGACTCGTCAAATTTCATTTGTTATTTATTAGAGTTTTCCCAAATTCTTTGAAATAAGGATCCGTTTGATTGCAATGGTAGAAAATGTGTGGAAAGAAAATGAATTTTAGAGAAAATAATTGTCTAAAACTTATTTTCCAATGAATTGTTAATTAAGTGTGTTTGATTGATATAATTTTTTACCCGAATTTTTTTTAGAATTTTGGATTTTTTTGTTCACGTTTGACTTCATTTTACATTGAAATTGTTCATTAAAATAATTTTTTTTACAATTAGTTATGAAATTTGTTACCATTGCCAAAAATTTAAAAAAAAAAAAAAAAATTTGCTCAAAAACTATTTTTT